TTACTATGGTTGGCATTTCAACCGGTGAGGCAGGGCAGATGAGTAAAGCAACTTTAAAGAAGACGATGGAGGATTTGACGAAAGAATTGGAGCAGCCGGATGCAGGAAATGCTGGTGGTAGTGATATGAGTAATGAGTTAAGATTTGAAGATAGAGATCCACTATTTGTGGCTAATGTAGGTGATTATTATTCCGGCATGGCAAGGACAGGTTCAGCTAGATGGGTTCGTGGAGGAAACAATTAGGGGGCGCAACTGACAACATTTTTCTTGTTCTTTTTGGGTATAAGTAGAGAGAATACATTGTTAATAGGCCGTGCATTTCTTTTTGCTGGGATGTCGATTTCTTAAACGTCTTTTAGCTTTTGGATGTACCATGTATTTTACGATATGCCATCTGACCACTGTTGTAAAAAGGTTTTCTTATAGAGCATATATGTAATGAAATGGTTAAGAAAGTGCCTTGTTTTTCTCTTCTTTCTTGTTCTTTTTAAGCAACTCTGCTTTGTAAAGGTTAAGTATATAGATTATCTCCAATCTATATTTAGATTCTATGCAAACCCAATCGATTTGCAATCAATTGGTGAAGCAAACAGGGGATGGGGTTAAGTAGAAGGTGATATGAGACTGGTTTTGGAGTTTATGGCATCTTTGTGAAACATTTTGGCACGAAGGGGTGAATGAATCAAGCATGGGCCCTCACTGTTTTCCATTAATGGTAACAAAGTGACAATGATCTAAAATGATGTAGATAGCACAAAGGAGGGCCAAAAATGCCTCTCATAATGTTTACTACCACTGCAACTACAAACAGGAAGATAATCATGCACGACAAGAAAATTTTAAATATGCAATGAATTACAAATGTGGTGTTGGTGGTGGAGATGGTTCCCTTGGTGCTGTGTTGTGGGTGGCCCTTTACAATCTACATCTCCTTAGTGTGTGTGTGACTCTTCTTTTTTCCCACACCATAAAAGCAATGAATTAGAATTTAGAAGGAAGAGTTGAGCCAGCGAGCCCATCAAGAGTGGGTGGTTATTAGTTGTTGATGCAAGTGAATTCCGCAGAAGCCTTTGCTTTCATTTGATACCAAAAGCATCTTCATGGCCATCACTAATATTTCCTCCTGCCAAACCCATGAGACCTCCTCCTTCCTCTGAGTCCTCTCCTATTCGCCAAACCCACCTCTCTCTCTCTCTCTCTCTCTCTCTCTCTCTCTCTCAAGCCGATCTGCCCAAGTAAACAAAATGCATTCTTTTGAAGATCCCATGACATTGACAACGACAATCACATCACTTTATCTTAATCTTATCAATCTTTAAGCGTCCACAAAGACACATACATGAAGCTATATGGTTCATCCACAATCCACATATCTTTTAGTTTTACATCATTACATTGCCTCTCTGTCTAATCTTTATCTATCTAATTTAGGTAGAACAAAAACGCCTTTAGACTTTTGTGCATCTAGCTAAGCTAAGGCTGCCCTACTCTTCAATATCATGGAGATTATTACACTGTAGATAGGTCTCTGGGCCAACTGGAACTTGTTTGAGTTGAACTTGAAAAGGTCCAACCAAATGCCCTTCCAAGTTCCAACCAAACAAAAAAGACACGAAGAAGAAGTATCAGTCACAAATCTTCTTCCCCTTAACGAAGTGAATGGTAGTGATGGTGGTCCCAAATCACATTTTTCAAGTTTTGTTTCCTTTTCATTTGAAGCACCTTCCTCTCCAACTCCAATAAACAATTCTATCTGTTTTCACAAAAACATAAAAATAAAAATTCTTCTCCCTGTTACCTTTTTGTGGGCACTTTTTCCTTCAATTATTTTACTCGACATTTTTGTTCTTCTTCTTTCTACCGACTTGAAATTGTTTATTAGTAGTGAGAGAGTCAAAGATGGTGAGAAGGTCAATTGGTACATCTTTTGCCACCATCATTGTTGCTTCTTTTCTTCACATTCCGAGTTTGCTGTTAACTTGCACATTATGTTCGATCCTTTATGACACACATTTCTTCATGTAGTGCGGTATTTAGCAACAAATATTGATAATTCCCTTTGAAATATGTGATTTCAATACAAAGTTAAAAATACCGAAGTTCCAAAATGCAAAGATTCCCACAATAAAAAAAAATAAAAAAAACCAACTGTGATAGAAACAATTTCCTTATTCTGTAATCCATCTTGTGAAATAATTAAACAAATAAAACCCATCTTTAACGGCCCAAGATTCCTCAACCCACAACACATCATCAAAAGATGCAACTGAAACATAAATTGAGACACAAACTTGGTATATATAGAGCGGAGAAGAGACAATTCAAATGGGTGACGAAGGAACATCGTCTTTTCCCTTTCTGTCCCTGTCTTTGGGGTTTATGCTTGTGCAGGGCCCACCGACCATGGGCCTAGAAGGATGGTTGTTTAGGTGGGGTTGATGAACGGTTAGGATTCGGTCATCTCTACGCGGTAAAACTCTGAGCCATCTGAGTGTAGCGTCGCAAACAAGTGTTTTGGGCTTCTTTTTTTTTTTTTTTTGGATTTGTCCACTTGTTATTTTCATTTAATTTAAAGTGCAAAATGCCAAAAAATTTGTCATCTGTTCGGATTCTGGCTGCATCCTAAGGTTGTTGTACCATGTTTTAACTCACGCGCGTTTTCAGTCTCCCTTAGATGCAGGCGCGAATTTCTGTATCAAACCCCACAATAAATTCTTACCCAGAAAAAGAAAAAGAAAAAGCACGGAATTACTTTTTTTCCTTTATAAGCTCACAATTATTTTTCCTTCTTGTACCTTGCTAAAATCTATTAATATTTGAGATCATTTCCCCAAAGAAAAATCCAATCTAAACAATTTTCCAGAACATTACTCTTTTAACCTTTTTGTTTTATATTTTATTAACTTTTAACCTTCTTTTTTTTTTTAATAACTAATTTCACAATATTTTAAGTCTCAATTCATATGATAGTTTTTTTTTATAGAGTTATTTACAGTAACATCCCTTGAGGTTTCTTGTATTTTCATAAAACTCCTTTAGATTTTAAAAATTATGCGAACACCCCCTGAGATTTTAATTTGTTTTCACAAAACCCCCTTTCGTTGATTGTTTGTCAAAAATTGATAATTTTATTGAACAAAAAACTTATGCAAATGAGAAAATTAATCTCAATGAAGTATATGCAATATAATCTCAAAGGCCAACTTTGTCATTTGAAAAATGTTTTTGTATAAAATCATCAATCTTTGGATGAAAAATCAATGAAAATGAGTTTTGTTGAAACAATTTAAAACCTCAGGAGGTGTTCGAGAAATTTCTAAAACCTCAAGGGGTTTTGTGAAAAAACAGAAAACCTCAGGGGGGTGTTAGTGTAAATAACTCTTCATTATATAAAATTATTATAAATGGAGATGAGGAACTCCATTTTATCACATCTATTCTAACATTAAAAAGAGAAATACCACTAACGGCCTAGTTGGTCATATGAAGGAGTTCTAAAACACTTTATATTTCTTACTAAGTTCACTTCAAAGTTGAGCTACAAGCCCCTTGTGAACTTTATTCATTTCAATGTTTGGGATCATCTAAAGTAATAACGGAATCAGCCTTTTATGGTCCATGACGCTCCAAAAGTTTAGGAAACTACATGTGTATTAAGTATTGTGGAGTAAATCATAAATAAAAAATTTTGTTATCTCCCTGATTCTATATTTTCTCACAAACTTCACTCAAGTCGAACTGTAGGTTTTCCAAGCAAGTTTTCATCCAATTTGATAGAATAGATACGATTTTCTCTTCTTCTTTTTTTTAACATACAAGCGATATTGGGGAAGGAATTAAACCTATGACATAATGGGTGCACAAATAAATACTCTTACTTGAACTACAAGTATGTTGCACAATAGATATTATTCTTAATGTCACAAGTGAGCTTCAATTCTCCCAATTTCATATGGATCGAGAATTGAAATATCTATTTTAGATGTTGCTTAAATAAGTAAAATTATTGTTGCTTTCATCTGAGTGGATATAACATTTATTTTATGAATGTCCATGAAATTTTGAAAATTTTAAACATGAATCAAAATAGATGTAGAGGTATGTGCGAATAATCTATCGAACCACACTCCATATTTGTAATGAGAATGACAAAATATACTGTATGCAATATATGTATATAATTATTAAACCGTCCGTAGTGTATATTATATATAAACACCTTGATAATATAATAATAGAGAATAGTTTCAACCAATTTCCATGAGAGTGTGTGAAATTAAACACAAGCCCCATGCATGTAGACAATCTGGCAGCCATGGTTCTCTCTTCTTCCTCTTTGCCACACCAACCCTCGAACCTTTCTTGATGTGTAGGGCACACGTAGGCCAGTTGTAGGGCATGCTCCACAGCGGTATGTGCACGCACACCATGTGCTTGTATAGTTGTTTTCATGCTTATACATAGCGAGTGAGAGGACGAGTTCACACACACAACCAATCAGATGTGCTTGTACGGCCCCTGTTTGACATTTTTATAAAAGTCAATGAAAAAGGCACAGCTCTCTCTCCTCTCCTCCCCTCCAAATCCATCAAAAACCCCTTCCCTCCTCTCAAAAACCACTCTCTCTTTTTGTTTCAAAAAATGCAATGCCCTTTGCTTTTTTCTTCTTTTTCACTTTCTTTTTGGCTTAAATTAATATAAAATATCAGTATAAATAATTAACAATTTACCAAGTCAGTGCTCCACCATTTCCTCTCACTACAATCTATCTATTTCCATGTCTATGTCTAAGTCTGTGTTTGTGTCTGCGTCTCTCTCCTCCCCCTAGATTTTACTTCTCACCCAAAAGTCAGCGCCGTCCTTTGTGCCTCTCTTTCCTTCTCCATGTCTTTCATTTACCCAACTGCTTCCTCAAAATTGGCCTAAAACAGTACAAGCAGCAGCAAAAGAACACAGAGATAAGATTAGGACTGGTGGGTTTGGTGAGAGTTTCAAGAAATGGCAGATGATTGGGATCTTTACGCTGTGGTGAGGAGTTGCAAATCAGCCACCCACAACACCACCACTAACACTTCCGCCGCAGGCGCACCCACAAATCCCATTACCCCACCCTCCGCGGAGGAAGAAGACCCCTTTTGGGATTGGTTGAAATCCGAGGAGGAAACTGACCCATTATTCTCTTTCCCTAATCTCCTCGAGCCCAGAGCCAATGCTTTCCAAGAGCTGCAACAGTTTTACGAACCCCTTTTGCCCAACCCCACCACCACCAACAATCCCAGCACTAACAACACCTTTGTTCCTCCTATTATTCCAAATTCCCCCATTATTCCTGACTTTGGAGGATCTGCCAGTAGTGGCCAACATCACCTACAACAGCAACAGCATCATTTTCTGCCAACCAACACCCCCACGAGCCCTCATTTCAACCCTGCCATCTCCCCTCCTGGTTTTGGAGGATTCCATGGCCAACAACAGCCGCTTCTGCTTCCCAAACCAGAGACTCAAATTCTACCCCAACAGCTCCCAACGCAGCAGGGTTTTATGAGGCCTCAGGCCATGGTTCCCGCTCTTCCTCCTCCTCTTCCTCGTGTGCCAATCACCATGCCAATCAACTCCCCCCGGCCAAGAAAAAGGTATATTTGCAGTATAGATTCCCTTTTATATTGTTTCTTCTTACTCACATGCTTTTGATATCAACTGGTTCACAGGAAGTGCCAGCAGAAAAGACAGGTTTGTCAAGTAAGCGCAGAGAATCTCTCCGCCGATTTATGGGCATGGCGTAAGTACGGCCAAAAACCTATCAAGGGTTCTCCTCATCCAAGGTAAATTAGGTTAATTTCTCTGCAATGATTTTCCTTTCCTTTTGCGATTTCCTCTCTGAAATACCAAAGATGCTTCTTCTTAATTTTCTTTTTCCCTTCTCTTTTGGCGTCTCCACAGGAACTATTACCGCTGCAGTAGCTCCAAAGGATGTTCAGCGAGAAAACAAGTGGAGCGGAGCACGGCGGACCCCAACATCTTCGTCGTCACATACACAGGCGACCACAATCACCCTCGTCCAACGCATCGAAACTCCCTTGCTGGCAGCACCAGAAACAAGTCATCAGCGACGGCGGGTCAAAACCAGCCCATAAACAATGACCCCGGTTCACCACCAGCCCAAGCTGACCAAGACGCTGTTGCCAATAACGTCAATTCTGACAATTCACTTGACAAAGAAAATGAGGAACTTGATGAGGAGGAGGAGGAAAGGGATGAGAACGAGATCGAGGACGAGGACGTGGAGGAGGACGATGTTCTGATACCGAACACAGCCATGTCGGATGAGATATTCTTGGGGCTGAAGCAACTGGGTTGTACTAGTTCTAGTGGTAGCGGGGGTTCTCTGGCGGCAGGTGCTTCTGGTGATACTTTTTCGGATCAAGAGCCGTCAAGTTTGGGGTCTTCTTGGGCTGCTGCTAATCGTTCCTCTGCTGCCGGAGCCACCGTTGGCGGAGGCTGCTAGAGCCGACAAGTTACCGTTTGCGGAGGCTGATAGGTTTTTGGTTTAATCTTTTGTTACCGTGTTGGTTCTATGAGAAAGAGGGGCGGGAGGGATTCTTATTAGATTGTATGTAAATAGATATAGAAAAGAGTCCCTTCCTTCTTCAGCCTATAGGGAGTTTTCAGCTTTATTTTTCTCTCGTTGTAAATTGCGCATATAAAAGGTTTTTTTTAAAGGCTAATTTGTTGTGGTGAATGACAAAGAAAACTGTTTATAACGAATTTACAGACTTATACCATATTCATGTTAAACTTATATATACGTGTAAGGATGTGATTAGTAATATAATCATTAGATATAATATTCATAACGTTACACTTTACATGCGGTAAAAAGAGTTTCAAGCACACGTTTCATGTCAATAAGAATAAAACTATTTATAACTGATTTACCGACTTATACCATACTTACGTAAAACTCATATCTATGCAGAGAGGTATGATTAGTAACATAATTATCAGATATGGTGTTCATAACGTTACACGTGCTAGAAAGTCTTTTAGGCACATGTTTCATTTTGACAAGTTTTTTTTTTTTTTGGCACCAAATTATAACCAATACACTGACTTCTATATATCAAATTCACTTAAAATTCATCCACATGGATAAACATAGTTAGTAATATAATTATTAAACATCCTCCCCTTGGTCCAGAAAAATAATTTAGGCACACGATTTTGGTGTTATATATGAAAGACTAGTTTAAGAATGTGATTTTAGTATATATATATATACATGGATCACGACGTGGTATGATGTTGACCATTGGTAGTTCGTTCTTACAGGTTATGCACTTCATTTGGAACAATTTCTTACAGGTTACACTTGATTTCATCTTTCATTAATGATTTTGTGAAACAAGCCCATTATTTCAATGAATTCTAATTTTATTTTTCTCTCTTGTTAATGACAATATCTGAATCAATTAATATCCTAATTAATTAGAGTATCCATGTGAATGAATTAGGAAGTGCTTTGCTCTGTCAACAGTTTGACTATGCCAGGTCAGCACCAGGTAAATACAGAAACTAGCACTGAGTAGTTAGAACATAAAATCTAATTATAATTTTAAAAACAAAAACAATATTTTAGACAACAAATGGGTATATTTATTTATAAATCAAGTGGGTGTAAGACAGTTGTCGATTTCCACGTAAGGTAGGGTTTAATTTGTCAGACCGTGACCCGCTCCGGTTCAGTCGCCTTCATCACGAGACAAACACTAGATCCCCTTTTTGTCTGATGATATAATGGGGACAAATATAGTTGGCTTCTCGGGTCAAACATTTTTTCCCCTCTCTGGATATAATTATGAGAGTGGGTCAAATGTATTTTATTCAGGGTTTTGTCTTTTACTTAATCTCGAAAAATAATATTGTGTATGAACAAAAACATAATAAATATCAACAACAAGGGTTGGCTGCAGAAAAGAAATACTAGGTTTTAAATGGGTGAAGCAAGTTGTTGGGTTATTGTATTCGAGAAATATGAGGATGACCCTGTCAAAAACAAAACGTGTAAAGTCATTCTTTTGGAATAAAATATAGGGTCTTTGTTTATTAAATATTATCTCTTACTAACCAAATTAAAGTTTTGTTAATCATTTGATTATTTTAGCTAAGCTAATATTAATTGGTTTATACTCTCAAGCCTCATTGATTGTGGTATTCTAAATTTGTATTCGACCTCTTAGCTCAAATTTGTAGTATACAAATGGAGGCTCACTCATCCCAAAACTTATACCTAGACTCTTTTACCACCAGCTTTTTTACATTTTATCTCTCCAGGATATTGCAGGCCTCGATTTGGGCTTATGATGATGTTTTGATCCATTATCAAGTTTATATGTTGTTGGGCTTCTGTCCCTACAGGATATTGCAGGCCTCGAAATTACAATGAAACAGGATTCGGGAAACCCATCATCTCTTTCCTTTCCCAAAACGGGTTTAAAAGGGAGCGAGTCTGCGTCTGTGAGCTAGGTAGGAGGAGAGGACCGATACGATACAGAGCTTCACATCACAGAGAGAGTGTGATACTAAAAGATGTTCCTGCGAGCGGTCGGACGGCCATTAATGGCCAAGGTGAAGCAGACGACAGGGATCGTAGGCCTGGACGTGGTCCCCAATGCCAGGGAGGTCCTAATCGAGCTATACTCCAAAACCCTAAAGGAGATCCAGGCCGTTCCCGAGGACGAAGGGTACCGTAAGGCCGTCGAGAGCTTCACGCGGCAGCGTCTCAAGGTCTGCCGCGAAGAAGAGGACTGGGAAACGATCGAGAAGAAGCTTGGCTGTGGCCAGGTCGAGGAGCTCATCGAGGAGGCACGTGACGAGCTCACCCTCATCGACAAGATGATCCGTCCGTACAATTTATTATTAGTATTATTTTTCATAATTGAGCTATTTATTTTTCTATTTCGGAAATAATGAAATTAGAAATGTTGAATTGAGTTTTGCTATTGGCATTGGTCCTAGGTCCTATAACATGCGAATTGAGCTCAAGGAGCTCAAAGATCGGTTCCTGCTCAGAAATGTGGTTGTGTTTTCTAAAATGAATTGCTTGTTTGTGGTTTCTCAGGAGTGTGGTTTATTTGGTTGATGAGAAATAGAAAACTAAAATGGAATTGGAAATTTTGGCGATTCAGTCTGGCCTCTGTAGTTTTGTGATGGTGCTCTAGTTCCCCAGTTTTAGTCGTGGAAATGATGATGGAAAACTGAATAAAGGACGTAAATTTATAGTGGTCATGTTTAGGCGGTGCTTTTGTTTACTAGAATAATGAAACGAAAGGCTTCACTTGATTTTATCAGTTTCAAAGAGAATATGATTTGCTTGAGAATGACGTATTGTTGACTTGATGCATATGAAGCTGCAATTTCACTCTGTTCACTGTACATAAAGTTTAGTGTGAGCTCTATTTTGTTCACTTGGATGCATGTCAAACTCTCATTCAATGTCCAAAGTAGAAATCTTTTATCGTGTCAACTATGATGTTTACTAGCCATTGTAATCAATTGCTTTGATTTAGTTCTTCTGTCTCAGTGTTTTATTGCTCAAACTTTGGCAATGATATCTTCTGTTGCCATTGTATGTATGAAGTGCTAGTTTGAGCGAAACTGATATAGTAGATTATTTCCAAAGTAGCATTGAATTGTATTGTTTGTAATAGTGTGCATTCTGTGTTGTGTTGGATTGCAGAGTGGGATCCATGGGGTGTTCCTGATGATTATGAATGCGAGGTGATTGAGAATGACGCGCCTGTTCCCAAACATGTTCCTCTGCACCGACCTGGTCCTCTTCCCGAAGAGTTCTACAAGACGCTGGAGGGTCTTACTACAAACCAAGCAAAGTTGGATGAGGCTAAAGCCACCTCTATCGGGTCCGAATCAAAGGAGTAACTGTCTTACTGGCATATGCTCCTGGGGACTTTGGACTCCAAATTCGAGTTTGAGTCTTTTTTCTTGAATTCTCCTGGTTTTTTGTCGGTGCCAGTGGGCCTGTTTGCTAGGCTGTATAAATTTTCAAGTATGGGAGGGAGGCTTTGATTTTTCAATAATCTACACTCCAAATGTTGTTATCGTAAAGTAAAACTATGTTGTTTTCTTTATTTATGCTCTTGATTTCCATTGAAAATGAGTAATGTAAAAGGTTAGCTTCTACTGTTCTCAATGCTGCTTGTTTCCATCTTAAATAAAGAATTAATGTTACAAGTTTGTCACAAAACTCACAACACAAGACAATCTCATTGCCAACAGTCTTAACAATCCTGTCCGCAGAATCCTCGTTATTTTCGAATGTCATTATAGAACATCAACTATGGCATACAGAGTTATGAAATATTTCGTCCTGTTGTAAACTAGCTGCAACCATGCACGAGCACTCACCCTTCTTGAAGACATGCAATCGGTTCCCGTCCCTCACAATGATCTCCCTATCAACAAATTGAGTTACAAGCATTATAAAGTTATGGCATTCGCTGCATATAAGCATGTTCTTCGATATGCGTATGGAAGCGTTTCGCGGCGTTCTGAGAAGACCAAATGCAACAGCTAGCTTCTCACTATGATAAGATGAATCTTCATAGTCCTGATACAAGTTTCCTCGGTTCTTCAACTCAGTTATAAGCGATTCTACTTTTTCATGGATTTCATTTATCTGTGGATGTGATCTATCTCCTGCATTGAATAGGTGAACCTTGTTTCTTATCTCCATCCAGCACTGCTGGGAGGGAGGCTTGGATTTTTCAATAATCTACACTCCAAATGTTGTTATCGTAAAGTAAAACTATGTTGTTTTCTTTATTTATGCCCTTGATTTCCATTGAAAATGAGTTATGTAAAAGGTTAGCTTCTACTGTTCTCAATGCTGCTTGTTTCCATCTTAAATACAGAATTAATGTTACAAGTTTGTCACAAAACTCACAACACAAGACAATCTCATTGCCAACAGTCTTAACAATACTGTCCGCAGAATCCTCGTTATTTTCGAATGTCATTATAGAACATCAACTATGGCATACAGAGTTATGAAATATTTCGTCCTGTTGTAAACTAGCTGCAACCATGCACGAGCACTCACCCTTCTTGAAGACATGCAATCGGTTCCCGTCCCTCACAATGATCTCCCTATCAACAAATTGAGTTACAAGCATTATAAAGTTATGGCATTCGCTGCATATAAGCATGTTCTTCGATATGCGTATGGAAGCGTTTCGCGGCGTTCTGAGAAGACCAAATGCAACAGCTAGCTTCTCACTATGATAAGATGAATCTTCATAGTCCTGATACAAGTTTCCTCGGTTCTTCAACTCCGTTATAAGCGATTCTACTTTTTCATGGATTTCATTTATCTGTGGATGTGATCTATCTCCTGCATTGAATAGGTGAACCTTGTTTCTTATCTCCATCCAGCACTGCCCAGGATTCTTCTTCAATCCCCTCTCTCTCATCACCCTTCGGGTGCTCTTGGCTAAATCAGGCTGACCAGATTCTTCATACAAATTTGCAAGCAGCACATAAAAAGCTGGATCAGACGGGTCTAGTTCAGTACCTTGCCTTGCGACATATTCCCCCAGAGCAATGTTTCTATGTGACTTGCAAGCACCCAATAATGTCTTATAGATTAAGGCATCTGGTTTAAAAGGCATTGTCATGATCACTTCCATGGCATCCTCTAGTCGACCCGCTCGGCCAAGGAGATCAACTAAACAGGCATAGTGATCCAGTTGTGGAGCTATCTCATGCTTTTCTCTCATTGACTGAAAATGCTCAAGACCTAATTCAACCAAACCACCATGGCTGCAAGCAAAAAGCACTAACAGGAATGTAATGTAATCAGGTTTAAATCCTGCCAGCCTCATGTCATCGAAGGTGGAGAGAGCAGAGGAGATGTGCCCAGTTGATGCCAATCCAGATATCAATCCGTTCCATGATACAATATCTGGCTCAGAAATCCCCTTGAAAGCTCTGTAGGCGTCATCCGTGCATCCACATTTCCCATAAAAGTCAACTAAGGCATTTGAAACTGATATCCCACTGGCTAAACCGGCTTTGATAGAACAGCAATGTAGTTGCCTCCCAGTTTCCATTGCTGCTAAGCCAGCTGATGAAGATAAGAAGCTTGCCATACTAAATCCATCCATTTCAACATCATCCATGTGCATGCGAACGATGACATCCAGTGCCACTTCATACCGACCCATCTGATTCATTCTTGTGGCCAAACATGTGTACGTGATAGCATCTCTATGGATCATGGAGGTAACTACATGCCATGCATCATCCACCATCCCCAATGCAGCATAAGCATCCACAAGAGCATTCCCAACAACTGTATCACAGCCAGCTTTAGTTTTAACTATAAGTCCATGGAGTTTCACTGTTTGACTATGAGATTTAACTGTACTGCAGGCACGAAGAATGCTGGAGAGAGTAAAGGAATTTGGCTGAACTCCTACTGCTCGCATCTCCTCAAAAGACTGAAAAGAATCTTTTTCAAAACCGTGTTCAGAAAAACCAGCAATCAATGAAGTCCAAGTGATGACACTCGGTGAGGTTATGTCCCTAAACGCTCCCAAAGCATCTTCTGCGAGGTCAGAACATTTCATGTACATATCAACTAGTGCACCTCCTGCACACGTATCATCCTCCAAGCCAGCCTTGATTATCCGTGAATGGATCTGTTTTCCCAATTCCAGCGATAAAATTTCCGAGCTTGCCTTCAGTATGCTAGAGTACGTAAAATTATTCGGTACAATTCCAGAGAGCTCCATCTCATGCAATGCAGCAATAGCGTCCGTGACTCTCAAACTTTGTGTGAAGCCAGAAATAACAGAGGTCCACAATAACACATCATAGTCAGGTGTTTGATTTGAAACCTTAATGGCATCTTCCATCTTCTGGCATTTTGAATACATATTGACCAGGGCTGTCTTCAAGACCAGATTCAGCCTCATTCCCAAACTTATCAAATGGGCATGAAGTAATTTCCCGTAATTCAAACCGAGAGAATACGGTGCAGCTAAAAGTTTCACAAAAGTGAACTCATTTGGATGAACCCCAGCACATATCATCTCCATGTAATGGGCTAGAGCCTGACTGAATTTCTCAGCTTGGACTAATGAAGAGATGATTGTTGTCCAAGAAATAGTGTCCCTATTGTCCATGTTTCTAAATATCTTACAAGCCTCATCAGTGAAACCACACTTGGCATACAAATCAATCATAGTGCTGCCAAGATATTGGTTTGACTCAAACCCAAGCTTTATCACATATGCATGAATTCGAGTCCCGTAATCAAAATCTCCCAACAATGAGCACGACCGGAGGACACTTGAGAGTGTAAACTCATTGGGGCACTGCCCAGAAATGCTCATCAAATCAAAGAATTCGAGCGCCTCATCATACCGTCCGTTCCTGACATAAGCAGACAGCATGCCAGTCCAGGACACAACATCCCTGTCAGGCATTTCATCGAAGAAGTGGCGTGCAGGTTCAACTCCAAAGCATTTTGCATACAAAGACAGTAAATTGTTGCTCAAGTAGAGGTCTTCCTGAAGACCCAGTTTAGTAATTGGACTGTGAACACAGACACCCTCTTTCAGGGCCCGTGAGTTGCATAATGAAAGAACCCGAAGGCATGTTTCTTTGAAACAGTTCACTTGAGTTGTGTTGATAACGAACTTGGTGACTGTCGGTAGAGACATAAAAACCCTTTTCTTATCGAAGTTTTACTTATGGTATTTGGAGCAGTTCCTTCCAACTCTGCGGACTCGTGGTCGTGGAAGCTTCCTTTCTCTATGGTCTCTCCAGAATGGATCCACGAAGCTATATCTAGAAGAAACTCATCTCCTTGTTTTCTTTGTGTATTGTGATGCATTCACATTAACACTTGCTCGGAATAAAAACAAAAGTAGAAACCTCGAAGAACCCAAGAAAAGTATAAGAACTTGCCTTCGTGTTGTGCTTTTTCCTCTGGCACGTATACTTTCCCCAGCTAAGCAAGATAAAGGAAATTGTTTCCGTTGAAATAAATCTAAACTTAAGAGGATCTCTGTAGAGATAAAGCAAAATGTGCTTGTGATTAAATTTTCATAAATCCGTTAAAATATTGTTAATGAATTAAAATCCTAAAAGTAAATATCAGTTCGCATATAATATAAAGTAGTAATAATACCATTTTTATAGAAACTTTGAAATAATATCTATTTCACCCAACACTTCAAATATTAATAAAATTTCCTTATTTTTTGGAAACTTTTTTTATTTGCTCAAATTTTTTTATTTGGAAAACTTAAATATTTCAAGTTCAGGTATTTTTCGTTATATAATGTTGTTTTTATGGAGTTATTTGTGAAAGCCCTTACATAATTTCCGAGGATGATTCTCGATTGAGTATTTTTTTAGTGTGAGTAATAGTTTAAATTATAGTGAAATGAGATTTCTTAGACACACATTTATAATGTCGTGGGGATTCAAACTTGAGACATCTAATCTACAAGTTAAGATCAATTTCTTAACTTAATTACTTAACTGAGATTTTTTTTGGAAACTTTTTTTATTTGCTCAAATTTTTTTATTTGGAAAACTTAAACATTTCAAGTTCAGGTATTTTTCATTATATAATGTTGTTTTTATGGAGTTATTTGTGAAAGCCCTTACATAATTTCCAAGGATGATTCTCGATTGAGTATTTTTTTAGTGTGAGCAATAGTTTAAATTATAGTGAAATGAGATTTCTTAGACACACATTTATAATGTCGTGGGGATTCAAACTTGAGACATCTAATCTACAAGTTAAGATCAATTTCTTAACTTAATTACTTAACTGAGAATCCTCTTAATTTCCATTACTACTTCCGTAATTTCTAGATTTTTTTGGGCACTTGAGCAGAAGCCTAAACAACATCGTATTTCCGTGGTAGACTTTGAGAAGTCTTTCCCTCTTCTGTTCTAATTTGTATTGTATGATTAGAGTATATATATATATATATATTACATATTTTGCTCACTTATTTTAGCCACCTCAAGTCAATCTTATTCTCAATCCGCTCTCTACTTTTTCTAGACTCTTCCATCTCCCTTGCCTCTCCTTCTCCTCCTTCTCTCAGAGTCAGTCACCGTGCTTTGCCATGGCTTCCGATCTCGAAAAGAGGGCCAAGGAGGCGTTCATCGACGACCACTTCGAGTTGGCCGTTGACCTCTACACCCAGGCCATCGCTCTCAACCCTCAAAACGCCGAGCTCTACTCAGACCGTGCCCAGGCCAACATCAAATCCAATAATCTCACTGGTACTTCCTTCTCTTAGTTTCTTGTTTGGTTCCCAAAAAGCCCAGAATTGATTGGATTTGATATGGTTTCTCTAATTAATTCTCTATTGTGGGGTTTTTCTTTTCAGAGGCTGTTTCGGATGCAAACAAGGCAATTGAGTTGGACTCATCATTGTCTAAAGCGTACTTGCGCAAAGGGTGAGTGCGATTGCACAAACCAGACCCATAATTATGTTTGTTGTTTCTGTGTGCGCACCTATTTATATTGTGAACTCTGAAGGGTTTTGTTTGAAATTCTTGGATCGTAATTGCAACATCACACGCAAGTTTACTTTTTTATTGTTGATTTCAACTGAAAAACTTACTAGGTATTGTTGAAAACTTACGATCTTTCTTCTTTTCCATTTTTGGTTACAGAATTGCCTGCATCAGGCTTGAGGAATATCAGACTGCAAAGGCAGCCCTGGAAATTGGTGCTTCTTTGGCGCCAGAAGAGACCAGATTTGTCAAATTGATAAAAGAGTGTGATGAGCTCATTGCAGGTGTGTTTTTCTGCTTTTATGGAAATGGTGGACCTTTTTCTTTTTCACAATAAGATGTTTTTACCTTTGTTATGTAATGATTTTGTTCTGGAAAGGAAATATCTAAGGAAATCATTGTACAAGAAATTACTCTGTTGCATCTTGGTGACCTGCTTTTTGTCTTATTGATGACTATTTCATGTTCAATCAGAGGAAACCGGTGTTTTACCAGACCTTTCATTGGAAAAACCCAGTACAGAGGATGTTGTCTCTACAAAAGATGTTCAGCCTGTGAGTGATCCTTCCAATCAGTTGACTGTAGCATTTGTCAAACCAAAATACAGGTTAGTCCAACTTCTTGTTGAGCTTGGCAGGATGAGGGATTAATTTAATTGCTGTTAAGGATTTTAGTCTTCTTCCTATCAATTTTTTTTCTTCTTTCTCTACAGTCTATATTGTGGAGATGTGAAGCTCCATAAAATATATGCATCCTTGGATAATAATACCCTTTCTTCTTTATGAGAATCCATTTTGTCATAGAAAACCCCTAGTTACTAAGATACATGATTTGGTGAAAATATTTACACAGGCATGAATTCTACCAGAAGCCAGACGAAGTGGTGGTGACTATATTTGCCAAGGGCATACCAGCCAAAGATGTTCATATTGACTTTGGTGAACAAATAGTATGTATCACATTGATCTAATGTTTGTTTTATTAATTTTTCTTATTGATTTTATAGTTGTCTGGATCTTAAAGAAAATTTTGTCTGCATCTTTGTATACAAGATTTATGAATTGGTTTTATTGGCTGTTTCCAGCTAAGTGTTAGCATTGATTTTGCTGGTGAGGATACATATCATTTTCAGCCTCGCTTATTCGGAAAGGTATTGCACCAATTTTATGTTTATGAGGAAATTGTTTTGTTAACCAGGACATATAGTGAATTTAAGAACGCATGCACGTCCTTTCCATTTTCCCCTTATTTTTTCTCTAATTTTTGAAATAAGTGGAGCACAGTATCCTTTGCATTTAATCTAGGAGTTTGCTAGTTTTATATATGGATGACAGAAGGCATCCATTCACGCTGTACATTTTTGGATGAGAAAATAACAGTGGGGTTTGGTATTTTGCAAACAGATAATACCTAAAAAGTGCAGATATGAAGTTTTGTCCACCAAAGTTGAAATTCGCCTGGCAAAAGCTGATCCATTACACTGGACATCTCTTGAATTCAGCAAGGATTACTCTGTTGTGCCAAGGGTTAGTGTGCCAGGTGGGTTAATATTTTGGTAAACCACTTTTTCTGTAAAATAGAATGCATCCCTTTTTGCTTTGGAAAATAGTTGCTAAAAAGATGCAACTGCCTACAGTTATTGGAGAGCAAAGGCCATCTTACCCATCCTCAAAACCAAAAAGGGTAGACTGGGATAAGCTTGAAGCCGAAGTGAAGAAGGAGGTGTGCTTGTAACCAAGTTAGTTGATTTGGCATTATCTTTTGCAAGTCTTAGTGCATGACCACCTACTCTGTATGTTGTGGTTTCAGGAAAAAGAAGAGAAGCTTGATGGTGATGCGGCTTTGAACAAATTTTTCCAGGACATATATAAGGATGCTGATGAGGACACTAGAAGGGCCATGAGAAAATCTTTTGTAAGACTTTTGCCTGTAGTCTTTGATACCAGCCGTAGAATGCATATGAGTTGTGGTCACATTGACTTGTACGTTGCTTCCTAATGTTTTGCTTGTACAGGTGGAGTCGAAT